TCCATCTTCAAAATCATCGTTGTCTCTTTGTTCTGTGAATACTCGTGGAGCTATGGCTGGAAAAGGCGATGGTCCGGCTATTGGGATCGACTTGGGGACGACCTACTCGTGCGTTGGTGTTTGGCAGCACGATCGCGTGGAGATCATAGCGAATGATCAAGGCAACAGAACGACGCCGTCGTATGTGGCTTTCACCGACACGGAGCGGCTGATCGGCGACGCCGCCAAGAACCAGGTCGCCATGAACCCGACCAACACTGTTTTCGGTAAGTTCTGTTTCTTATTCTGATTTTCTGTTTTCATAGGGTACTTTATCTGTTTGGACAGTGAGAAAATCAACGCCCAAAAATAAAGGACAAATATATAGTGCTCGTGTTTTTTCTGCATGAAAGGTGGTTCTGCGTTAGCTTTTCTAGATTCCGATTATATAATTCGTGTTTAAGAATTATCTGACGATTTTAAAATTCGTTTTAAAATAATTTTATTTTTTTTATAAAAATAAAAATGAAAATATTTTTAATTTTAAATAAAAATTATTTTTAAAAATGTGTTTATATTAAATTAAAAAATTATTTTTATTTTTATTTTTTATTTTTGTTATACTAAATGTCATTTTAAAAATATTTTTTATTTTTTAAATTAATTTTAAACACGGTTTTTTTCTGTGTTGTTTATATCGTGCATTAATAATTGCTATTGAACTGAATAAGATGAGCTGACAAGATCAGCGTAATAAATCCATCATGAATCAAGAAAGTTGTTTTAATTATCGTCCGTTTTGTTCATAAATTTGAGCAAAAAGTTCACATAAAAATTTAAGTTTGTTTTAATTTTTGTGAAAGAAAACAATTAAAACACAGTAGCAAGAACAGGTTTGAATTAAAGCATTTAGGTTCGAATCACATGGTATGGGTAGTCTTCTATTATAGAAACTAGAGTTATCCTTTATATTGATTAGTTGGTTAGTTAATAAGATTGAATCTTTTTTTTTAACTTATATGGTTGTTAGAGCAATATTGTTCAAGTTCTATTTAGTTTCAACAAGTACTCGATGACAAATTCTAACAAAAAGAAGTACTTGATGAAAAATTAATTTTCAGACGATTATGATTTTTGGATTATATTCTGATTGTATTCATTTTATCTGGTGGCTGTGTAGATGCCAAACGTTTGATTGGCAGACGATTCAGTGATCCATCGGTGCAAAATGACATGAAATTGTGGCCGTTTAAGGTGATTGCTGGCCCTGGCGACAAGCCCATGATTGTTGTGAACCACAAGGGTGAGGAGAAGCAATTCGCCGCGGAAGAGATCTCATCGATGGTGCTCATCAAGATGAAGGAGATTGCGGAGGCTTACCTCGGCATAGCTATCAAGAATGCAGTTGTTACTGTGCCTGCTTACTTCAACGATTCACAGCGTCAAGCCACGAAGGACGCCGGTGTTATTGCTAGCCTGAATGTGATGCGTATCATTAACGAGCCTACCGCTGCTGCCATCGCATATGGGCTTGACAAGAAAGCGAGTAGCTCTGGTGAGAAGAATGTGCTTATTTTCGACCTCGGTGGTGGCACATTTGATGTCTCCCTCCTTACCATTGAAGAGGGTATCTTTGAAGTGAAAGCTACAGCTGGTGACACCCACTTGGGTGGTGAAGATTTTGACAACAGGATGGTGAACCACTTCGTTCAGGAGTTCAAGAGGAAGCACAAGAAGGACATCAATGGAAACCCCAGAGCTTTGAGGAGGCTGAGGACGGCTTGTGAGAGAGCCAAGAGGACCCTGTCATCAACTGCTCAAACTACCATCGAAATTGATTCTCTGTATGAGGGCGTCGATTTCTACACAACTATTACTCGGGCCAGATTCGAGGAGCTGAACATGGATCTCTTCAGGAAGTGTATGGAGCCTGTGGAGAAGTGTTTGAGGGATGCTAAGATGGACAAGAGCAGTGTCCATGATGCGGTTCTAGTTGGTGGGTCTACGAGGATCCCCAAGGTTCAACAATTGTTGCAGGACTTTTTCAATGGAAAGGAGCTATGCAAGAGCATCAACCCTGATGAGGCCGTTGCTTATGGTGCCGCTGTCCAGGCCGCAATCCTTAGCGGTGAGGGCAATGAGAAGGTGCAGGACCTTCTGTTGTTGGACGTCACTCCTCTGTCCCTTGGATTGGAAACAGCAGGAGGTGTAATGACTGTGCTAATTCCGAGGAACACCACAATCCCCACCAAGAAAGAGCAGGTGTTCTCCACCTATTCGGATAACCAACCTGGTGTGCTAATCCAAGTGTACGAGGGTGAAAGAACTAGGACCAAGGACAACAACTTGCTCGGAAAGTTTGAGCTCTCCGGAATTCCTCCTGCTCCTAGGGGAGTTCCACAAATCAGTGTCTGCTTTGACATCGACGCAAATGGCATCTTGAATGTCTCGGCTGAGGACAAAACGACCGGACAAAAGAACAAGATCACCATCACAAACGACAAAGGTAGGCTTTCCAAGGAGGAGATTGAGAATATGGTACAGGAGGCTGAGAGGTACAAGGCCGAGGATGAGGAACACAAGAAGAAGGCTGAGGCCAAGAATGCTTTGGAAAACTATGCTTACAACATGAGGAACACCATCAAAGATGAGAAGATTGCATCCAAAGTCCCTGCTGCTGACAAGAAGAAGATTGAAGATGCAATTGAGCAGGCCATCCAGTGGCTCGACGGAAACCAGCTTGCTGAGGCAGATGAGTTCGAGGACAAGATGAAGGAGTTGGAGGACATTTGCAGCCCCATAATTGCTAAAATGTACCAAGGCGGAGCTGCTGGTGGTGACGCGGGTGGGGCCATGGACGAGGATGGTGATCCTTCTCCTGGTGGCGGAAGTGGTGCTGGCCCCAAGATCGAGGAGGTGGATTAAGCTGCAGTGCTTTGTCCTAGTTAATGCAGATGTTCGAGTTCGAGTGACTCACGTTTTGTTTCATCCTGTACATGGTTTCGGAGTTTGTTTAACTAATATGTATTTTGCTCTTATCTTTTTCAATGGCAATTACCTAGATGTTGGATTTTAAACTCTCACTGTTCTTAGAATATTTTTCATTAATGGTTTCATGTGATTTTGCTTAGTGGTCCTTCATATATAACTGCCAATTGGTTTGTTAGGCAGACTTTCTTTTTTTATTTTTTGGGCATATTGTGCGTTTGTACAAATGTGACTTCTCTATACGATAGGACCCATAATTTCTTGCAAAAAAAATAGACCTGAGGACTTCATTAATCAATACCGGTAAATTAATCAATGCGAACTACAACGCAAACTTCAGGAAACCTTCCTTATGTTCAATAAAACCACGTCTTAGATCATTAAAAAAAAAAAAAAAAAACAAACAAAAACAAAAAAATTGAAATCTGACGGAGAAAACTGAGGGTGCGTTTAGAATTGGTTCTAAAACGTTTTGTTTTTTGTATGAAAATGAAAATGAAAATGTTTTTATTTTCATTTGAAAATGCGTTTGGTAGTTTTATTCCGAGATTATTTTCAGTTTTAAAAAAACTGAAATTGTGTATAAACATTATTATATCTATTAAATATATGTGTTGCCCTTGAATAAGGTAGCATTGGAATTAAGTTGTCGTTTTTTCTTTTTTGGAAGGGAATTTGTCGTTTTTCTATTTCTCCTTTGCGTGAGCGTGACCTATGGAAGTTCAGTGGTTATCAATGGCGGTCACAGCATAGCAGAGGTAGAAGGTTTTCATCCACAAAGGCCTCTCCGGCAAGTACGTGCGGTGAGGAGTAGAGATGTTTGAGAGAGCATCGGCGGCAAGATCGAAGGTGAAAAGCTCAACGGCCGCACGGGGCTGCGTTAGGGAGGCGCAATTCGAGGCAACTGTAGAGCTCATAGAGAGACCCGTCATTTCCGGGCAAGGTCGCCGGAAGGCAACCGGAGTTTAAGGTTCCTTGCCGCTCAATGCGTGTCATCGTTTCCGGCCTCGTCTCCGGAGTTTGGAGATGGTGACAGTCGACTAACCTTCTATTCTTGTTGAACTTCTTATATGCTTTTCTGGTCTCATAGAAGAAGATTATAACTGTTGTTCAGGCGTTGAAGGATAGGTGGAAGTCTATGATTTGGAAGGTTTTGGACAAATTTCGGTGGAAAAATACAGCAATCATAGCGTTTAGGCGGCAATTTGTAGCGCCTTGGCACTGAGTTTTACGGAATCAACGTATTGGGCAGAACTGGTGGCGCTTTGGCGTCAGTTTGTAGCGCCACGGCGCTGAAATCCGGCAGAAATTGTGCACTGGGAAGAATGGACAGCGCTTAGGCGCCCATTACAGCGCCGCAGCGCCCAGGGGTTTTACACAACAGCGCCGCAGCGCTAGAAACTCAGCGCCGCAGCGCTACGACGCGAGAAATTACGCGTTTTGAAGGTCAATCACGGGTAAACTTACCCGTTTTGACCCTAATGCTCTGAAACATATAAATAGATGATTCTAGGGCAATTAGATGGGACTTTTAGACTGTGGAATGACGGGTGGCTTTTGAGAGAGTATTCAAGAGAAGAAAAGGAGAATTTGGACGGAGAAGAAGAATGGGTCAAATCCAGAGACGGAGACGCTTCAATTCAACTCCAAACTAGTTCTTTTCTTTCCTTTCCAATGATTAAGACTTTGTTTAGGAATGTATTTTGTTTAGAGATGAACTAATTCCTTTTTCTAGGGCTACGATGTAGCCGGATTATGAATGTTCGAATTCT